ACCAAGTTTCACCACAACTGACATGTGCGCAGATATTCAGGACTTTTCGAATATGATGAAGCCTCCAAAAAGGCATTTGTAATGTCTGAATAATAATAATAACAAGAATTCTTACAAATAGCACGATTTGTGCTCGGGCCCTAAATAAAATAACCCCCTTAAGTGTCTCTGTGAGCAATTATGTTTATACTGTCCAAAATCAGAAGTATCCTTCTCCTGTTTAGTTCTTTTCAATAACCACAGATTTGTTTGCAGTTATCCTTGCTTCATCTTCCTGATGTATTTTTTGCCAAGAAACTGATGAACCAGCTATTGGACCTTCCTAACGCAGGTGTATTTAACCTAAAATCATCAATTAACAGATTATCTCTATTCAAATTATTATGTGACTTTAAAATAATGTTCAGTGGTGATTTAAGGAAAGTAAATAAATAATAATGAATGGTGTGGGACTTGTTAGGGCTCTATATTATATTATATTATATTATTATTATTGTCATAGAGTACGGTCTTAACCTGCTCTATCTAAAAAAGTCCTGAGATAACTTCTGTTATAATTTGGCTCATTGAATTATATGCTTATTTTCCCTATAAGTCTTCCAAATTAAACAACAAAATATGTTGTTTGTCCATGCCCTAATGAATGCAGTGTTTTCTAATCTGACCCCCCAACTGGCCAGATGACAGTGTTGTGCAAGTTCACACTTCACAATAGCTAGCTCAAAGTTCAGTTCACACAGGTAAAAGTGAACTAGTTCACGTTCATAGTGTACAATTCTAAATTTGAAGTTCACAGTTCACAGTTCCAAAAACTGAACAATTCACACGTATTTCTTATATATTTTTTGAATGAGCTGCTTTACAAAATTATGTGAGTTTGTCTTGGGTGGAAGAAAATTGCAACAGTTGATTTGCGGGCTTACACTGTTATTATTGCTGACATACATATTAAGGTGTACCTATATATAAGTAAGTCTGTTTTATGAACTCTAAGATTTGGTTAAGTTTAGGCACAACAACTTGGTTGGGTTAAGGGAAAGATCATGATTTGGTTTGAAATAAGTATGTTATTAAGTTTAGGGAAAAATTGTGATTTGTGTTAAAATTATTAAAAGTGTCATTATTATGGTAGGGCTGGTCATCATGGGCATAGTAATAAACACTTTTTATGGTCATAAAAACCACAATTGTGGTCATGCTTAATCCAAAAAATACAACTTATTCTGTTCTGCTTCTGAGGAAAGTCTCTGTTTTGCAGCGTTAGTATAGGACCCTATAGCAGTGCTATATAGTTGGGCCCCTATTGACTCCCATACCCTCAACCCCCAACCTACTGTCTACATGTACCCTCTATTAAAAAATGCGTACACAAAAACCAACCAATACTCCTGTGCTGAAAGAAATACTTGGCCCAAGGTCTTCTATGTGTCAGGTGGCATCCATCCTTGATGCAGTAGGTGATCTACACATTATCTTACATATCCTTTACACAAATTTTTGTTAATCTTCGCAAAGTAAAAGCAGTGTAGAGCTGCATAGCTGCTTGATGTTTCAGTTTGTTTAGGAAGCAACACGTTCACATTAATCATCTGCCTATATATTGTATTTATATTATATAATAATATAATAAATATCACAGGTTTAAAGCCTTTTTAAGATTTTTCACATCTTTAGGAAGTAATACTTTGTGTGTCCAATGAGTTTCATAACGGTGTGCAGCCCTGTGGGGGTCTTCCTGTTAAATCTTTGCTTGGGGTTTTTTGAGCGCCTCCTCCATGCACCCAATAATTATTCCAGTGTTTGACTGTCAAGATATGTTTGTCCTAACTGAAATCAAACAGCGGGAGCAGAGTCCTCATTCTGCACAAAGAATCTGTCAAGAGAGATTACTGAAACACAAACTAATTTAATTCTCTTGGGCCTCCTTATGTGCTCATTCAACAGAGGAGAAAAGTAAAGTAAGAACTGTGTCTTTCACACTGTATAGCAATAACTCATATTGTGCTTGTCCAGGCAATTTGTTCCATCACGTCATGCAACAAGAAACAGGTATCCTGTCCTGTCATATACAGTCCTAAATGGCGATCCGACTGGCCCCGCACAGGCCCTGACAAACTTGTCTGGGGTGGACTCACCAAGTTAAGTGGGACACAGCAAGAAACCACACGTGGGCCATTACACAACCAGCTCCATCTGAGAGCCATGGTGACCTGCACGCCTCATGGTTTTCTTTGGGACAGTTTATTTAGTAGAGTGAAGTTTCAATAAAAACAGTTTCAAGTAGAATTTTATGATGCTTTAAGCACTATACATATTCACTGTATTGTAGAGGGAGGTGAAGCTTTTTTTTTTTTTTTTGGTAGCACTTTACATTGGCATTTGTAAGAATCTACCAGGGCTGAATGAAAACAACCAATTTGTATATTCTACAACAACTAGGCCATTAACTAAGAGTTTCACCACAATAACCTCCGAATTACTGCTTATTGATAGTAAAAAAGGAAGTTGTAGTATATGAATTATGATCTTAATATGCTTTGCATGGGCCTTATATGGTGGTAGTACCACATGAATACAAATTTTTGCTAAATGATACTTGTATTTTGTATATGTATATATGTTAATTATGGACTATTCTTATGTAACAAAACACAGAAGTTGCCTCCTCTTTACACTTAATAAATCCAGTATAGCACACAACTACTGCAATTAACTATTCTTAAGTAATGGTACATACACTTTGAAAAAGATTTGTTTTATTTAGATGCACAGGTTCTAGTCCCATTTAGTGGTAGATTAAAAAATCACCACAAGTAGATATATCTCCTTTATTAATGGACCATTTCAATGATTTTCAAACACATCGATAAAATGTTTTTTTCTTGAAGGTTAAGAACAAATGTACTGCATAAAGGGAATTTTGGTTAAGAAAAAAAAACAGTTAAGACCTACTGACAAGAATAAAAGCTTATATAATCATGCTATAATAAATGAAACTGAAAACTGGCAATCGTACTTACAGTACCAATACAAAGTGGTAAATGGACCTGCACTTGTATAGTGCCTTTCTAGTCTTCCGACCACTCAAAGCGCTTTTACACTACGTGCCACATTCACCGTTTCACACACATTCACTCGGTGATGGCAAAGCCCATCGAACAGAAACTAACTCATTCTTACATTCACAAACAGATGCACAGCATCAGGAGCAATTCGTATCTTGCTCATGTGGCAGGAGGAGCCGGAGATCGAACCAACAAGCTTCCGATTATTGGACGACCCACTCTGTCTCTGAGCCACAGCCGCCCTTGTCTGCCAGAAGCTGTCATACATTAATTAAACAAACAATGAAGGAATCCTAACTGGGAGAAGCTGGCTGCAATAACAGCAGTGGTAGTGAAGACAACAACTACCATGATTCCACACCACTTCACCATGTCATCAAACTTGGCTTTTGGTTTGATGTGATACACCCCCTAGCAGCAGAAATTACATATTGCCTGAACTGGAGGTGAAAAGGTGCCAGTACCCTATTTCAGTTTAACTTCAGTTTAACCCTAACCCACTCTTTTGGCATCTTTAATCCTTTTTAGTTTAATTTGCTGTTTTAGCATTAAACTAGCTGTGTGTATGGAGGATATGATATAGATATATGTATGGAATAAGCAGCAAAAAGTCATATTTAAAAGCCTTTTAAAAAAAACAATTATGCCATTCAGTTTCAAAATCAATTCATTAAAGCTGCTTAGTTAGTAACTAAGTAACCTACTGCAGCTTTAATTCAGAATGACACACAATCAATGTATCTGTAATTTTAAATTAATCAATTTATTACTCAACTATAATTAGATAACACTTTAAGTCTATCATTATTCCAGTAGCACACACAGGTTCCACAGTGTGTTAGTTACATAACCATATAATTATCTCAAAGCACAATAAAAACAAACAATTACATGTGACTTATGGATATGGCTTGCAAAAAGGGCACTCTACTAAGGATGTAAAATCCAGACGTCAGCTTAAAAGTAGGTTAGTTAATGAAAATAGTTTTCTGTCAGGTCAGGTTCAGGTGTTGACAAGCGAATGTTTGGACTTTCCACAGAAGATAGAGTGCTGTTGGGTTAAAGAGCCTTTACAATTAAACATTCACTTGGGTTATCTTCCATGCCCCACCCACCTCACGGTTAGTTTGTCTGACAGCAGCTTCTGTCTCATGATGTGGATCATTTTATTTTTATATTAAGAAGACTAAACATATAGACATAAATGTGACAGAAACACTGTATAACCAAGTTATATAGCATATTTACCAGCTAATAGAGCCCTACTGGGAACCCAGAAATGTTGAGTTGGTCAAAGTTTTATGTTATAAATGTACATTATGGTTCCTGTACATTTACTTGCATAATTCGGGCAATTAGTGTTATTAAGCATAATCATAATATGGACAATATTGGAGTGGTTTTAGGGGTTATTGAGTTAAGTTCTTTTTTCTTTTTACAATAAAAAATGCCAGCAGAACTGAAGAAATGTGAAGAAATATAACATCTGAACATTCACACCAATGACATTGTGCTTTCTTGATAGCAAAATGCAGGTCCAGTGGATTAAGCATATAGATAAACTCAAAATCAGCCCACTGGGAGTTGAAATATGGCCCAGTCCGGTTTAAACTAATTGTTTAATTGTGCTAATTATCCAACAAATATGAGTTAGCATCTGGCAGTTTCTCAATGCTGGGGACCCATACTGTGCAATTCTAATATAAAACTTTGGTTACTCAACATTACGGGTGATATTTTTGACACGTTTTTATTTTAACAAATGGTTTCTAGACAACATATCCCAAAAGCCTTCAGCATCTCTCTTACATAAAAGGCTGATGGGAGGTGTAGTTATTTAATGAGAAAAAAAATAAGCTTTGTCCTGTAAGAAGACCCTCCCCCTGAGAGTCAATCACAGTGAGCCTATAAAGCGCTGGCAGGGCGCACCGCGCACTCATTCACTCCGCTATTGTTCCCCTGAGGACCGGCTGCTGACCACATACCTGAAGACGTTTGCAGGAGGCAGACATGGACAAAGGTGCAAGACCCAACTGGGACAACCCCATGCAGTTTGTGCTGGCATGTGTATCATATGCGGTCGGACTTGGAAACGTGTGGCGATTTCCATACCTCTGTCAATTGCACGGTGGAGGTAAGTCACTGATCCCAGAGCAGTTACATAATACTATTGAATAATGATGATAAGTTTAAATTATTTTTTAATTTTAAAAAAGCCTAAATAGCGTGGTTATGAGGCAGGAGTAGTGTTTACACACACAATGTCTAATTTATATTTTAAATAGAGAGAGAGAAGTTCACTTTAAACCAGCTGATTCTCACAGATGGACTTCAGCATTTTCCATTCACGTCTATACTCAACACATTCACTGTTACCTCATACAATGTGTTGTGTCAGTGTAAATAATGTACACTATTATCCTCAAAATCCTTACACAAACTGAGCTCTCAAAGCTATTCCTGCTATGGTAAATGGACCTGTACTTGTATAGCACCTTTCTAGTCTTCCGACCACTCAAAGCGCTTTTACACTACGTGCCCCATTCACCCTTTCACACACATTCACACAGCGATGGCAAAGCCCATTGAAGAAACTAATGCACTCACACAACGATGCACGGCATCGGGAGCAATTCGCGGTTGACTATGTGTCACCAGGAGCGGGGGGTGGAACCAACAACCTTTCGATTAGGGGACGACCCGCTCTGCCTCTGCGCCAACAGCCGGCTATAGAAGCTCATTTCTGTGATGAAAAAAAAGGATCCTGTGAATATTGATTTAGTAAATCGTTATTTTAAGATGATTACTCGTTTTTTTGATATAATAAGTCAAAATATTGAGAAGGTTTCTCATTATTCTGAGATACTAAGTCATTATTTTAAGAAGGTTCTTCATTATAATGACTTATAGAGTCCTTTTTTTCTATCACATTGGCAGAAATGGGCTTCCATATTCTGCCTTTACATTTTGATTGAAATTAAATAAATACATAAATAGGGAAACAAACAAACACATAAATAGATAGGTAGAATTATCTCTAATACAGGAGAACATTTTATGCATTTTTTTATTGACTTGTTGCATGTGAGTCATCCTGGTGGCCTGTTTCTGGTGGTACATTTCCAAAAGAATCCTTATCAGACTGAATAAGTAATTGTTAAACAGTCTTAGGTCATAAACTGGGGTAGAACCAGGAAGGAATTAGTAAAGATTAATAATTGATTAATGTAGACTATCTACAGACTTAGGAGAGAACAGCTTAACACTTTGCATTTGATGGTTTTACTGCAAATTGAAAGTGAATTTGTTCCAAATAATAGTGTGCATATATAGCATAGGTTCAGGGCCATATGTCCCATTGTAATCAGTCTGAATGATATTACAATTGCAATGATGATTTACGATTAGTGTGGGAATTATCACTTTTTCATCACAAATATAATTTTCTCTGAAAAAACTATTGAAATTATGATGATGTGAAATGTTTTAGGGTCCGTACCAAACAAACATGTTTTATTACATCTGGAGAACAATCATTATCAGATCATTATAATGCTGTTCTGTCACATTTTAACCTTTATCAAAAAATTGCAGTTCCCACGATATGGATATTGCAATTGGCCATGTTGCCATTTTAATTGTTCAGCCCTACATCGGTTGTTGTGTACCCATGGAAATTACAACAAGTTATCTTATTATCACTGGCTCGCCAGTTCAAACTCATCATCAAAAATCTGATGAGCTTTTGCTAGTCTGGCATAACATGTGAATATTGAAGTTGCCCTCCTATGAGATAACAATACCAGCAGTGGCCCCAAGACAATTTGAGTCTGAGTCCTCTGTTTGTTTTTCTTTCTGTGCCATCTTGATCTCATCTGTATAATATCAGAAAGTAATATTTAAATACACTGATCTGCACATACTATTCAAACCTTTGGGGTTAATTTGAGCCGTAGACTCAACTTGCCCCAACATCGGTGACATGTTTTACCCCACAACCTCCATTTTGCCTGTTTCACACATTCGTTCAGATCCACAATTTTACTAAGTTTATGACCTTTTTTGCAGCTCACACTGACTTAAAGCTGCAGTAGGTAACTTTTATTAAAAAAAATATGTTTTGTCCTTGCTGAAACTTTTAATATTTCCTTACAGTAGTACATCAGACAGATCTGTGAAAAAAGCAGGTTCCTGTGGCTCCTCCTAGTGCTCCTAATGGCATTTTCCAAGAATCCATTGGGCCTGAATGAAAACAACCAGTCAGAAAGAAGAGAAGAAGCTGACAAAAGATAGTTGATTGTTGATGCTCATTCCCAGGTTGTGAAATACCAATGCTGGGACTGTGACACTCAACAATCAATAATCATCAAGCCTCCAACCAAAAGTGTCTTTCCATCTTTCGTGGCTCTGGTTTGTTGGAGCAGTAGGAGGAGGCATTTTTTCACAGATTGTCTGTTTCATGTACTACTGTCTGGATATAGTGAAAATTTCAGCAAATATGATAAAAAGTTACCTAGTGCAGCTTTAAATCAACATGCTCAATAAGTATCTATTTTAATTAAGATAACAAAAACATGATGTATTTATTCTTATTCTTGACATGACAAAAGTCTTTTTCTTTTTTTTTTCTTCTTTTTTATTACTGCATAGTAATATGCTCACCATGTGCGTCAGTCTAAGATGGAGTGTAATGTGAGCAATTCCTTAATTTGTGGTCACATGATTACTTTTGTTTACTTTTACCTAGATACAAGGGGTGGCTCATTTTACTTGCTTGACTTATCCCGTTCTCCTTTACTCATCATTATTAATACACTCAAAGTCTAATTAGAGAGAGAGAGACCATGTTCCCTTTCAACCAGCTGATCCTCACAGCTGGACCTGAGTAAGAAGCATTATCCATTCACTTCTATACATAACACATTCAGTGTTATCTTACACAGTGTCTATCTAAATACTGTACGGTATAATCCTTGTTTAAACTTGTCACACAAACAGAAATCTCTAGGGTAGTTCTGCCTTCATATTTAGCTTGAAATTAAAAATAAATGAGTAGATAAGTAGACTAATAGTTATTCTGATACAGAGGAACATATTATGCACAGTTTATTGACTTGTTGCCTATAATCATGTTGAGTCATGGCGGTGGGCTGTTTGTTTCCGTACATTTGCAGATAAATCCTTATCAGACTGAATAAGTTATTGTTAAACAGTCAGTTGACTCAAAGTTGAAACTAGCTATAAACTAATTGCAGGTCATAAACAAGGGTATAATCAGGAAGTAACACTGTGAATGAATTAGTAGAGATTGATACAATATGTTACCTATCTACAGACACTGTAGACACTCTAACTGCTGCACAATAGTCAAATGATAAGAGACAGCGTGTTTACAAGATGTAGCAAATAAGTTATCCTTTATTGATCCCCATAGGAAAATTCAATCTCTGACTTTAACCCATAACTCTAAAGTGTCTCTAACAGTGTGTAGCAACGGTCTCTTTCTAAGCCAGTGCCTTGGTCAAGGGAACTGACTTAGGATTAACCTGACATAATGTTTTTAATGGTGGGGGAAACACCCTGAGCACCCAGAGAAAACCCACGCAAACAAAGGGAGAACATGCAAACTCCACACAGACTAGCTAGCCATGATTTGACCAAAAAAGGGCAGATTTACTCTAGTTGTTGGTCATAAAACCTTTTGTTACGATGCCCAAAAATGTCTGTTACTGAGAATGAAGAGTTGCTTTAAATCAGTGGTTTGCAAACTTTTTCCTTAAGGGACCCCTTTTCTACTAAGTGACATCTTTTATGGATATTTCATATTATGTTCAGTGCATAACAATAGTACGATTGGGTATTTTATTGTTATTTTTTAACAATCATACATAATTAACAGGCTTCTTTTTTATACAAATACAAAGTGTTTTCTTTTCATTGTTCTATTAGTTTTTGGTTATTTTAAAGCTGCAGTACATAACTTTTATAAAAATAACTTTTTGTCATATTTGCTGAAACTTTAACTATATCCTGACAGTAGTACACAAGACAGATCTGTGAAAAAAGCAGGCTCCTCTGGCTTCTCCTAGTGCTCCTAATGGTATGGAACCAATCAGAGCTGAGAAAGCCCCCCATGAAGTTTTGGCGACCCATAGAAGAGGTCCCAACCTCCCGATTGCTAACCACTGCTTTAAAGGTCTATTGTGTAAGATTTAGTGGCATCAGGGTTAGCTATAGCTCATCCATTAGACATGATGCCCCATGTACTACGGCTCAATCCTTGCTGCAGTGGCCTTGGGTTTGACTCTGACTTGTGGTCTCATGTCATCCCGCTTTTCTGTTCAGCTGTCACTATCAATTAAAGGCAATAATCTAACGTGGTTAGATTGGAGAATTATGTCTTTATTAGTCTTATGGATGGATCACTGAACAATGAGCACACATCTATTTTAATTATTGTCCTGGATGTGTAACTTCCAAGCAGGAAACCAGTGTCAGACATGTGACAGCCTGCTCTCACGGTCGAATGGGGACAACTAACTGAACATTACCATGGGTCACTAACTCAAAACTATGTTTATTCAGCAATTCACAAAACAGTGTTCACCCCTGGGAGTTGAGGGGAAAATGTCAAAAATTATAGTTTCATAGATAGATAGAAACTCAGGCCTAAGCAGTGACCTAATCATATTTTACAGGTCCCACTCAGAAAATAGCATGTGAAAAGTGCCCTCTTGCCCTTTAATGATAGATAAAACATTAAGTGCCCTCTAAGGTGTCCTTCCAGTGGACAAAACACTATAAAGTCCTAACCCTGACTAAGCTGTTTCACCATAAGTGCATCACAATTTTCTGCTTGCTGGTGCCCTTTTTATTTTTTTCACTCCTGCCCCTCAAACACCCACCAATGATTAAAGGTATAGTGGTTTTGTAGAGGTCAAGTGTGTGTCACAAAAATCATTGTTTTCACTTAAATGTCCAGTTGTAACATTTAGCTGTAGAGAAAAATCTGGTTAAAAACCTATAACTTTATCATAGTATTTATGGTTGTTTCTGAGGTCACAGTTTGTAATGGTGTTGGACTGACTGCCCTATATTATGAGATGTTTTTGATATTCTGTCCCCCTCATTTATGTACATGGGGGCAGGCAAAATATTAGAAACTAAACATTTGATCTACAATCTGTTTTTGTCACAACAAACCTGAAAAAGGCTTATTGCAGGGGTATTGGGTTAAATTAGGTAGTACAGTTATACTAAATAAATTGGTAACTCATTTTGTAAACTCTATGCCATGTTTGCCTGTGCCTATGTTTGAGTTGCCTAAGTACTAAGGACTATTACACCTTCAGGGGGGTTCTTGATACCATACCTCATCATGCTGTTTCTGGAGGGTGTTCCTTTATTCTACCTGGAGCTCGCCATTGGTCAGAAGATGAGTCTGGGCAGTATTGGGGCATGGACTGCCATCAGCCCTTATCTGGGAGGAGTGGGTAAGTGCTGACTGAACCAACTGACTGTACTTGCAATAATGTGCATCAATGCAGCTTTGGGACTGCATCAAGATAGGGTACTGATACCGGAGCGCCTGTGCCTTTCAGTTGGCAGAAAAGAGAACAGTATTTTGAATTTTATGAGGTTGGAAGATAGCATGTGTGTGTGCCCGCAATGGGGCTGCAGCCAATGGACGAAAAGTGGGACAGTGCTACCACTTCATACTGTACTGTAAGTAAAATGCTAACACATCTGCTGCATTGTTTGGACAACTCCACTTGTCAGCTAAGTTAGCTAAGTTAGAATTACACAATAAAAACCTGTTGTCCCCATGTTAGGGGGTAAGGGGGTCAAAATATAAAAGTAAACGCCAAATACATTTTTCGGTAAGATTTCCATGCAGCGCCAACCCCAATCATTACTCCGCAGACTCTGGCTCTGAATTACGAAAGATCGAGCGACTGTATCTGGCATATTTTGGCTTCATTTTTGTACTGTGAGAGGAAGTGGAGACAGGGCATCCATGTCAATGTTTCAAATGTGTGAAGCATTAATTTTCAACACTGTTGAACAATGCAAAGCTCTGGCTACTCTTGAATGTTTTAGGAATAGCTAAAAAACATTTAGTTTAGTTAGTTTGTATGTTATTAAGCTTTTTGCTTCATTGTTGAATAACATGGATAAACTGACCCTGAAGAACAATAGGTTAATAGGTGGATGTACAATATGTAAAATAGCAAACAAATTGATTTGTCTTTGTAATAATTTTTTTGTATAATTCTCTTGTTTTAGGTCTCGCTAGTGTTGTGACATCCTTGTATCTTTGTCTGTATTACAACATCATCAATGCATGGAGTTTCTGGTACCTCTTCCATTCTTTTCAAGTAAGCTGCTGATTAACAAACTACTATATTTTTATAGCAGATACTATATACAAAATGTTGGCTTTCATTTGGAAAGTAATGAAACAAACCAATACTGTTTTGCGTTCACAACCATCTCAGTCAGTTCTCCCCTGGGCAGACTGCCCCATCAATTCCAATCGGACAGGACCTATAGAGGAGTGTGAAAGGGCTACACCCACCCAGTACTTCTTCTACAGGGAAACACTGGACATCTCTTCTTCTATTGAAGTGAATGGAGGCATTCATACAGGCCAGGCACTGTGCCTCGTGCTTGCCTGGTTGATTACCTACCTGTTCATTGTCCGAGGAGTAAAGTCAACTGGAAAGGTAAGAGAGCTCCAAGTCCCTCAAAACTAAAACTAGTCTGTTAAGAGCAGTTGACAACTTTTAAAAGACACTTAAAAATCAAGGATTGGAAACATACTGTATACAATGGTTAAACAGTGCATATGTTGTGTGGGGATCAAATCAGACTCAAATCATGCAGTTTACATTTGCCTATCAAGATTCAGCCAAAGTATTAGCCTGATGATTAGAGTGGAATTCTCTATTAGAGGTTTAGATGCTCTGAAAAATAATTGTCATGAAATATTATTATTAGTTTAATTTAGTGAATAAAAGATGAGGATGTTCATGTTATCAGTATCAACATGACCCACTGCTGTACATTAACTTTAGCTAACCACAGTCAATACTTAGTTTAGTATAAAGCACCTATGAAAACTTGAGAAAATGTCTCAAAATGAATACAATAACTGCAGTTATTTAATTATGAATTAAATGTGTAACTTTAATAATAGAGACTAAAATTAATGTTAGAATTAGAATGGAACAATATATATATCTGTTACCTATATGCAAGGTTTTTGGTCTTGCAATTATGTAACCTAACTGTACCAGACAACGCCCGTAGCACCATAAGGCCCCAAAATAAAATTACCAACAAGCAGAAATAAACATGGTTACAGCCTGGTCTGTAAAGCTTTCCCGTTCATGACAACTTTCCAGAGGGTTCATTTTTATTTAACTCAACCCTTTAAAATTAAATTGAAGGTCCAGTTTGTAACATTTAAAAGGATCTGTTGGCAAAAATGGAATATAATATTCATCCATTTTCATTTGCGTATAATCACCTGAATATTGGAATTGTTATGTTTTGTTAGTTTTGCTTAGAATGAGAAGTTTTTATTTATGCCACAGGTCGCCATGGAGTCCACTGTAGCTCAGAAGAGACAAACCAAACACTGGCTCCAGATAGGGGGGGTTTCCTGTTCCGGGTGAAGTGATATGCAACTACACCACTAGATGGTACTTAATCCTACACACTGGACCTTTAAGGCTTAAAGTTATTTATAATTAAGGGCATGGCTGTTTTCAGTAACCAGGCTTCATTCTGCCCACCTCAGCCCCACCCACACTCCATGTCTTTGCTCATTTTTGGATTAGCCGGGAGCCAGAGGACTCCAGACGGCCTGAGAGACCACATTATGCTATGGGGGATGTCCTGGAGGCAACATCCATTTTTAGTTATACGATCGTTGGAAACTCTTAGGAAAAGGGTTGGCACTCTCAAAAATTCTAAAGCCAGTTGGAAGAAGAGTGAAAACAACTTTTCCATTGAGAAAAGCCTTGAGTGACGTTATTTGCTCTTTTTTTAAAGAAGAAATACTCTCCAGTTCTGATAGAACTGCTGCTAGCAGCATCTACGCTAACCTCTTTAGCAACCACCATTGTTGTTTAAGGAATAGTGTCTTCTTGCTGCGTCACCCCTTGCCAGACCTTGACCAGACTAGTGAGATGATAGTGGGGATGGGATGAAGTAGTCCAACATGCCACCCGCTCATCATGCATTCATTCCCATATTTGAACCTTGAACCTAAGTTTGCTGTTTGACTCCATCTGTAGGTGGTGTACTTCACAGCCACATTTCCATATGTGGTCCTCTTCATCTACCTTATCCGGGGCATGACTCTTCATGGCGCCATAAATGGTGTCAAATACATGTTCACACCCAAGGTAGGTTTGTTTTAGAGATTTGGCAGTAGGCATATAGACAGTGCTTAGCATTACAGCAACCTTGTGTGGTTTTACACCGGGGTGAAGGACAAAACTAAATTACTGTTACATTTAGTTTGCGTAGGGCGTCTGCAGAGTGCAGTTTGATGACATTTTCCAATACAAAGTTTCTATTTGAAAAGTGTATTAACCCAAAAAAAGGCCAGTAAATAATATTTCAAAGCAGCTACCAATAGTATAAATTGAATAATCTACTGAATCAGTGCGTTGTTTTTTTTTGTTGATACATTACAGTGCGGCATGATGGCTATAAACCCACATAGCTCGTGAATTATTCCCCTTGTTGTGCTCATGTATCCCTTATGTGAAGGTGTATTAATCTGAAAAGCCTTTGCAGAACTGTAAAAATGTATTATGAATTCTTATAATGTTATGTTTGTATGTTTGTCTACTTATAGATGGAACAGCTTGCCAACCCCACAACATGGATCAATGCAGCCACTCAAATCTTTTTCTCTCTGGGTTTGGGTTTTGGGTCACTCATTGCTTTTGCCAGCTACAACCAGTACAACAACAACTTCGAGCGCCAGGCCATCATTGTTTCCCTTATCAACAGTGGAACCTCCATCTTTGCGAGCATTGTCACCTTTGCCATCTATGGGTTCAAGGCCACCGTCAACTACGAGAACTGTCTGGAGAGGTTTGTGTGTTTTGCTTGTATATGCACCCTTACACCTGTGTGCATGTCTGTGAATGTGCACCAGATTCTGTGTATGTGTGTACCCTTCCATTGTTTGTTTGTTGTTGTTGGAATTAAAAGGTCACATAAGGCAAAAAGACAGAGACATATAGAAGCGTAGGCTGTCAGATGGATTTGGTATGTTTATGTGGTGTGTATGCAGTTCTGGTGTATACACTGATCAGCCATAACATAATGTTATGCAGCCCCATATACAAAACAAAACAAATTGTGATGCACTTTGTGTTCTGAGACCTTTCTATAAGAACTAGCATTAATTTTTCCTGTTTGATCAGACCACACGGGTCAACCCCTTCACTCACCATTTGCCATGATAACCAGATAATCAGTGTTATTCACTTCACCTGTCAGTGCTCAGAATGTTATGGCTGATCAGTGTATGTGTATGCCTAATTGTTCATGTGTGTTGTATTCAAGAACAAATGTTGTTGTGCGTGTGTTTTGTTGAATGTGTGATGGTAGATTAAAACAGCTTAAACAGTTTGTGACATTCACCACACACGATGGTAATACATTGGACCCCTTTTACTCCCCTGTAAACCACCTTGGACACTCAGATCACTGCGTAATATGGGTGGCTTTGAACATATTCCATACCATTCTTCTTGACCACATTATAGAAAAAGACAATGGTGTTATTCTGGAAGATGGGATTGAGATATGTGATGCCTTTATTTGTTCATTTGAAATAGAGTGGCTTCCAGTTAAAGTCCAGATGAAATGAAAAATGCTTTTTTAACCCATTGAGATTGCATCCTCAGTTATATTGTTCCCCTATTTAACTCAAACTCAATTTCTTTGTATTTTAATATCAAAATCCCAATCAGTGTTTTTAATTATGACTGATGAATGGGAGGTTTTAAATTCTATTGCATAATGTTTGCTCAATATGTATCCAGGTGGTGAGGTTAATATTAATGGCAAAAGCTGTGGGTTTCAAGACCTCCTAGTGATCTGGGTTTTGTTTTCAGTGATGGGATCAGTGGGAATGGATTTTTAATTTAGGTCAAACTTACAACCTCATTATTGAGGTAGGAAAGTAACTTCATTGGATGTTAAATCCCTTTCAGACAGTAGATGCACATATGGCATGGGTCCACTCAATGGATGTTCAACCATTGTCAGACCCGTTTATATGAGTAAGCTGTCACCCTGTTTGTTATTGTTAGAAGACTCCAGTCTGCATTGTAGTTTATAAACCTAACTGATAAACCTAAAAATTACAGCCATATATAGAGTATAATGTATGTATTACCTTCTCATTTTCAACATAATCCGTAAATATTCTTAAATCTCAGAGACAAAAGAAATTGGTGTCATTGGTGTCTGGTAAAAGCTAGTAAGCTGGCCGTGAGTTAAGACATTTTTTGGCATATTGTTTACCTCAAAATGTACAATATTAACCAAGGCTTGTATAAGCAGAATTTGTATGACACAGCATTGATGTTGGATATTGCAAATACTTAATATTCTAGCTGAAGGTCAGGGTTAATGTACAGTTCTTGTAATAGTCCTTTTGTTTTCTTCTTCCAGGACACGCTTGCTGCTGCTAAATGCCTTTAGTCTAGCAGAAGACAGTATCACCATGGACACTGTCTTTGATTGGATTGAGAAGCTGAACACAACATACCCACAACAGTTTGCTGAAATTGCTGACAAACTGGAAAACTGTGACCTGGAGAGTGAACTAGACACCGTATGTTCCTCCTCATTACACTTGTCTTATATTGGTACACACAAGCACTAATATTTACAATTAACATAATGAGAATACAATTGGTTCACCCTGATTGTGATAAATGGACTGCACTTATACAATCACTCAAAGCACTGCACTATATGTCACATTCAACCTTTCATGCACTCACACACTGACCTGCCATGTAAGGTGCCAACTGCTCATCAGAAATGAACAAATACCATTCAGTGGCCATTCACACACACACCGTTGGCTAAGCTTCGGGAGCAATTTGGGGTTCAGAATCTTCCCAAGGAAACTTTGTCATGCAGCGGGAGGAGCCAGGGATTGGACCCCAAACTTTGTGATTAGTTGATGAGCCTCAGCCACCCAAGGGAAAGATTACTTTTTAAAAAGAAAGATATATGAACAGTGCAATAAACAATAATAAAGGGCTATAATTACTGGAGAAAATCCAGTACTTGTAGTGCAAACAAACACAGGACTTTAAACCAGGAGGTCAATGTTTATATCCCATGAAACCAAAAGTAAACAATTTGAAGTACAGTATGTAAGTTACATCAGGTATGTTACATAATTTACGGTTTATTCATGTACTAAAGTTATTTCAGATATGTGACATGAGTTACAATCTTTTCCTTATCCTAACTAAGTAGTTTTTGTGCCTAATTTGAACAAAACTGTGACTCACTAACCACACAATCTTTACTTTAAAACTGTAATTTGACATTACATATTTATTGTTGTGAATTAGATAAAGGAGTCCAGAAATGAGGGACACTTTTATATAAATATATATATATATATATATATATATAAAATTCTTTATATTTGTGTCGCCATTCGCGGCTTTGCATTGACTTGTATGTAATCTACTCGCACAAATAATAAAAATGTTTTTCTTTGAGTGTCTCTAGCGCAACATAAGTCATAACATTTTAGATTTAAACATTCTAGCAATCAATTCTTCAAGTGTTTATACAGTCCAACAAAATAAAAAGTCTAGAGCGTTTCCTTCTTTGATACCGGTGATTGCAGATTGCATCCTATATCCTTGAACTATGACCACAGCTTTGCCCTAGCCTGAACCAAACTAGACATAAACCATAGAGGTGGCGGATCACTTTTTTTGTGTGTGGTTATTTAGGTCAGTTGGGAAAGCACTGACAAAAGATGTCCTTCTGATAGGTGGATCAGATCGCAGTGTTGTTGTCTTTTGGGATGAAGACTTATTGGTCTGATTAAATGAATCCAACTTCAAACAGCTTTTGGCCTGGGTAGTGTGTTACACAGAATTGATACTAATAATAAGGTCTTGAAATTATTACCTTGCTCCTGATTGTGTGTATGGATGAGCTTAGTATAATCGTGAACATTTTATACAGCAAAAGCCATTTGAATCTTTGCTTGATTTTCAAGAGTCAAAATGGGTCAGCGCCTAATTCAGTTTCCACTGTCGTCATAAACTGTCTGTCTCTCTCATTCATCTGTTTCAGGCAGTAGAGGGGACAGGTCTGGCCTTTATAGTGTACAGTGAGGCCATTATGAATATGCCATTGTCTCAGCTGTGGTCAGTGCTGTACTTCATCATGCTCCTGCTGTTGGGAATGGGCAGCATGCTGGGCAACGTCACTGCCATCGTCACCCCACTACGAGACTTCAAGATCACGTCCCGCATGAGCAACGAGTTGTTAAACGGTAAGATTCTGTCCTGGTTTATATAGTGCCAGTAAACTGTTGCCATATTTGTGCTATTCATATTGGTTGTGGTTACTAAAAAATTCAGATAAGCATCCTGTTTACAAAAGAGCAGCACCAAATCTTACTGTCCACAATGTGAGAACTTTTGAAGTTGAGTGTTGTGTTTCATTAATTAATTTTATATAACATCAATGAATTGACATGTGAGTATTCTCTTTATATATAGTGCCAATTCATAACAAAAGTTATCTCAGGACACTCTTCAAAGAGAGCAAGTCTAGACCGAACTCCTTATAACATTTACAGAGACCCAACAGTACCACCATGAGCAAGCACTTGGCGACAAGGGCAAGGAAAAACTGCCTGTTAAGAGGCAGAAACCTAGGACAGATCCTTCAGCTCTAGGTGGGTGGTCGTCTGTCTCGACCAGTTGGGGTGAGAGAGAGAGAGAGAGAGAGAGAGAGAGAGAGAGAGAGAGAGACACAGACAGACAGACAGACAGACAGACAGACAGGTGACAACAGTACTGGCAATGGCAGTCAAGCAGGACCATGGCAGGAGGCTCCACCAGGATCGATAAGAACCTGCGAGGGAACTCCGGGGAAGAAGTGAAGTTAGTAACATGCATTAATGGGACATGAATGGGTGCAGAAAGAGAGAGAAGAAGAGAGGAGCTCAGTGTGCCATGGGAAATAGGGTACTATGAGTTCTTTAAAATATGAAGGGGCCTGGCTATGAAGAGCTTTTGGGTGAGGAGGTGGATTCTAAATTCTATTCTAAATGTTACAGGGAGCCAGTGCAGAGAAGCTAGTACAGGAGAGATGTGATCTCTTTTTCTAGTTCCTGTCAGTACTCGTGCTGCAGCATTCTGAATTAATTGGAGCGTTTTAATGGACTTATTGGGGCAACCTGATAATAAAGAGTTGCAGTAATCCAGCCTTGAAGTAACAAATGCATGGATTAGTTTTTCTGCATCTGTCTGTGATAGTATGTGTCTAATTTTTGTAATATTACGTAAATGAAAGAAGGCAGTCCTAGAGGTCTGCTTCATGTGGGATTTAAATGACAAATCCTGATCAAAGATAACTCCAAGATTCCTGACAGTGGTGCTAGAGGCCAAGGTAATGCCATCTAGAGTAACTATATCTTTAGACAGTGAGTCTCAATCAGAGGCAGAGCAGGGTGGGTCATGACTTTGCCATCCTGGGAAATAAATATCGCTTCCTCTACTTAGAGATAGCTATGGGTGCTAGGCTTTATGTTGGTCTATGTTGAAAAGACAACTGTAAATACATGCAACAAAGTATGTGTTGCTATGCAGTGAATGTTCAAACTTAATAATTGTAAATAAAGATCAACGACTGAGTGCTGTGTTTTGCTTGCAGGTTTAGTGTGTTTGTTCTGTCTGCTGCTGGGCCTAGGCTTCACCACCCCGTCAGGGAATTACTGGTTTACCATGTTCAACGACTATGGAGCCACTTTCTCCCTGCTGTTCATTGTCCTCATTGAGGTCATAACTGTCAGTTACATTTATGGAATTAAAAGGTTTGTGCATTTCTGTGATGTAGCAGCAATTTTATCACAAACTACTATATATCAAACAATATTTAATACATTATCTGCTAATTTTAGATTTGAAAAAGACATAGAAGACATGCTCGGTCATCGTCCCAACTGGTACTGGAAGATAATGTGGTCAGTAACCAGTCCCGTTCTCCTTATTGCCCTCTTCATTTTCTACATTATCAACTACATCAAGGGAGGGACACCCACCTACCAAGCATGGAACAAAGAGCTGGTAAGCTATGGCTTTTTTCTTCTTCATTACTGATGTCTTGTGCATACTGCTTTTCAGTGTGTAAATGTGTGTATGCGATCCACATGTCTAAGTATCCTTGAGCAAGATACTGAACCCCAAATTGTGCAATACAAGTACAGGTCCAGTTACCATTTATAACATTATTTTCAATGGCAAAGTCATGACCCACCTTACTCTGCCTCTGATTGGCTACTCATGTCACTGGTTTGGTCGGTTAGGTTTAGGCATTAAGAATGAGATTGGTTAGGGTAAGAATGGCAGGGTAAGCCAATCCGAGGCAAAGTAGGGTGCGTCATGACTTTGCCATCCTGGGAAAATAAATATTGCTTCCTATACTTAGAGATATGCGCTAGGCTCTATGTTGGTCTATGTTGCAAAGACAACCACATTTTGAAGATAAAAGTGACATACATATAGTCACATCTTTTGTTAGCTAGCTAATGTTAGCTAAATGTAAAAAAATAAATCCACTGGCGAAATTAATTAGATACTAAATAGCTAGCTAATCTACATCAATTGTTAACTAGCTTGCTCATTTAGCTAGCTAGTTATCTTTTAACCATATTGAAAATATATATATATAAAATATGGTTGTCTTTTCAACATAGACGACCTTAGCAAATAGCAAATAATATTATACAGTTACAGTTCAACTGTTATTGGAGCACAGAGCAAAAAGCAGTTTTGTCTTATGCAAGTAAAATGCATGCTCGAGGAGGTTGAATTCTCGTGATTGATTCAGCCATTGCAGAATATTCCACTTCTTTGCCTTAAAAAACTCCTGGGTTGCTTTCGCAGTATATCTGTACTGTGAAGCGCCATCTAATCAACTTTGCTGTATCTGGCTGAATCTGTGCAGAAAGAATATCCCTATAAACTTCAACATTCATCCGGTTGCTTCTGTCTTCTGTCACATCATCAATAAACACTAGTGACCCAGTGACATTGGAAGCCATGCATGCCCATGCCATCACACTGCCTCCACCATGTTTCATAGAAGATGTGGTGTGCTTTGGATCATGAGCCACCCAAGCCTTCTCCATACTTTCTCATTCCCATCATTCTGGTACAGGTTGATCTTAGTTTCATCTGTCAATAGAACGCTGTTCCAGAACTGGGCTGGCTCCTTTAGATGTTTTTTGGCAAAATCTAATCTGGCCTTTCTACTTTTGAGGCTGATTAATGGTTTGCACCTTGTGGTGAACCCTCTGTATTTTCTCCCATGGAGTCTTCTCTTTATGGTAGACTTAAATACTACACCTACTTCCTGGAGAACGTTCTTCACTTGGGTGGATGTTGTGAAGGGCTTTTTCTTCACCATGGAAAGGATCCTGCGATCATCCACAACTGTTGTCTTCCGTGGATGTCCAGGCCTTTTTGAGTTCCCGAGCTCAGCGGGCGTGCTCTTTTTTTCTCAGGATGTATCAAACTGTTGATTTGGCCACACCTAACATTTCTGCTATCTCTCTGATGGATTTCTCCTTTTTTGCAGCCTTTGACCGCATGTTGTGGGTTCACAGCAACAGCTTCCAAATGCAAATGCCACACCTGGAATCAACTCCAGACTTTTTACCTGCTTAATTGATGATGAATTAACAAGGGACTAGCCCATGCAGCCCATGGAATAGCATTTGAGTCAATTGTTCAATAACCATTGGTCCATTGAAAAAGAGGCGGCTACATAAGAGCTGAAATTAAAGTTGGGAGTCTGCACGTTAGGTCCATATTGATTTTATAACTGTATCTTGAATATGTTTTGGTAAACAGCTAAAATAACAAAATTTGTGTCAGTGTCCAAATATATATGGACCTAACTATAGATGTAAAATTAAATAAAAACTTTGTGAAGAAGCCAAGTAGCTTGGGTTTGATAATTGATTTTGGTGCTGGCTAGGATTAGGGATAGAGTATGATAGCACTTTATCCACTTATTGAATCAGATTCCTTTCTTATTGTTTATTGGATCTTTTTAGGTAGGTTGTTATTTGGGGAATGAAGGATATTCATTTACCCCATATCATACTTGAACCACGGAGATTTCACAGTGCTGAAAGGGTGTAGGGCTTCCACCACACATTTAGTCACTGCTCTTTGACAATCATTAACACTGTCCTGATTATGTTTTTCTTTTGTAGCATTTTACCAAAATGAAGCCAAAATATCCCAGATATGGGTGATGCATCAAATCACTGTGTTTTTGTTACCTTAGAATGAGCTTTTATCTACAGACGGAGTGGGTCCTCTCTTAAGGAGTCAGCCATGTTAAAATGCAATGTTTCTAGAGTAGCCCAGAACGGACAAATCAGATTAGTTCTAGGGTCTAGGGTTATAGGGCCAATCGTGTAGTTTTGCAGTCACCATAGTTTCTCCTATGCTTGGAACATAGGAGGGTGAGGTGAGTGCATTGCAATCAGCAACTATCACAACATTAATGTAAGGTGGTGGCTGCATTTGTGATGAAGGCTGGTCTGAGCAAGTGTTAATGCAAACACAATTTCTGCTAAAAGGAGCAATAAAATTGCATTGCGACAACTCGACAGGTGATTGATGTTGTTGATATTCTGCTAAAATGTCTTAGGAATTGAGTAATTAAGTAATTAGTAAGTAAGTGTGTGTGAAGACAGGTCAACTGTAACACACACTAACTGTACCTGCTGTTTCCTCAGGGGAAGTCAGAGGTGATGGAGTATCCTGTCTTTGGTCAACTCTTCATCGGGCTGCTATTGGTGTCATCAGTCAGCTGTGTTCCCCTCACAGCTCTGTATGTCTACTGCAGGAAGAGGAAATATGGAAACCATCATAAGAGGCAGCGTCCTGTCAGCACGGTATCTACTTAGTGACCAGATGATGACAGAGACTAACCTCCCACCATTACCAGCTAAAGCCACAGTACATCATTTATTATCTATTACATGGAGGGACAGTGGTACATAATCAGTGGGCATTTGTGTTTTCTCTTCGCTCTCACCAAATTTCACATCACTGAAGTCACTTTTGAGTTGTTCTCCCTGCAAGAGGACCTCTTTTACTGTAGTGAACAAGGCCCTTTTGCAGCAGGAAACACAAGACAAATTGGAGGCATGGGGACATAGAATCCAGATGAAAATCAGGTTAAACCTCCCTACTGTTTTTTAAAAAGAAGTCTGGGTATTCAAAATCTGGTGAATATATTATTGTAAAAAGATTTCTCAGTATTAAAATCACACAATACCTTTCATTTATGTTAAAGGTCCAGTGTGTAAGATAAGGGAAGTCAGACTTCTGAGCCGGATTCAAATCAATAATATATTTATACTGAAAGAGATTCAGCACATTCCAAATAGAGTACGATCAGTCTCAGCTAGCAATCTCTACAGCTTTTGTTATGTTATGTTATTAGTGTGTAAATAGTTTGTTTAATTGCAAATTGCAACATTTACAGGAAAATATGGTTGTAATTCCATTTTTAGTAAAGCTTTATTTCACAGTCTGCTAATTACCTGGCATTTACTAGGAAACTAGATGGTAACAAAATATAGTATATTAGGAAAATACCAAAAGAACTGTCTAGTAAGTACAAAGTGATTACCTAGTAAGTACATGGAAACCTATCAGGAAAGTCATCATCATCAAGCATACTTTCAGATTGGCAGTATATGGTTTATAAAGTATATAAAACTCACCAATGTATAGTAAGAACAATGAACCTTGTGGTATTTCCACATACATACTGTGGTATTCTCTAGTATGCAATCTGTACCTAGAGATAATAACTAAGTTCTTACTAACCATTTATTTGGGTAGTTCCTTAATCAGGCAATTTTTACTATCTAGTTTCCTGGAAGGTTTTCATGTACTTACTAGGTAATAACTTAGTATTTCCCATCCTTTTTATTATAGGTAAGTGTACGTATGTATGTAGGTTTGTATCACCTTGATTCCTTATCATCTAGTTTACTGGAACGTTTCCATGTATTTACTAAGTAATAACTTTCTACTTAAAAGCCAGTTCTTATGGTACTTACTTACCTAATAACTGTATTTTGTTATCATCTACGTTCCTAGTAATTAGCAGACTTTAAAATAAAGCATTACCCAGTTGTTTTTCATATGATGCTAGTTTACTAAATGGACATAATGATGGATGTATGTAGATATGTAGCAATGGCTCAGTGGGTTATGATTGTAGTATCTTATCTTATACTGCAAAGACATGACACAAGTCATGTTGTTTCATATTCAGCCTTAAATATGCATTCCTCTTATCAATGGGGTGAGCTAATTCAGGGTCAAGTCAAGTTTGTTTGTACAAAAATAAACAAAATCCCCCAGTGGGATTATAGTCCAACAATAGGATTATAGGAGTCCAGCACTGTTGCAGTTTACCGTGATTCAGGAATTTTCTAAAAGTGAGTACTTTGCTCAGAAAAGAGCAGTTTACCTCACTAGTACCAAAACATGACACTTGATTGTAGAGTGCACTGCCGACAAAAAAGATCACAACACAATGCTGACACTTTCTGTTGTTGACAATAAGATGTAAGACTCAATTTAGTTAAAGTCAACTGTATTTGTATCACGTAAAATCATAATAGAAGTTATCTCAGTATACTTTTCATACAGAGCAGGTCTAGACGGTACTCCTTATAAAATTATTTACAGAGACCCAACAATTCCCACCATGAGCAAGCACTTGACTGATTAAGGTGTAGTTCTTGTAACAGTCTACTCATCTAATAATAGCTTGTATAGAGTTGTCTGGTAATGTGTACTGTTTGTAAGAAGATTGTACAAATGGTCTGTTTTTCCTACGTATTAAATATTTTTTGATAAGTACTTTTATATCTGTTTTAAATGGGTTGGATATGCCATTTATGAAAATAGATCTACGGTGCCAAATATAATCTGAATACTGAAATATTTGCTTTATACACCCTCAAATATGTAAAATGTGTACATACTGTAAATATGTGTCTTCTAATGATCTAATGATGGGAGCCTCAAGAAATATGGGATTTTTTGTGTCACTGGCTTAATGAGATCTTAGTAACTCAAATAGTCAGTGAACTGCTAATAAAAAGTAGTTTGATGTCTATTCAAATCAAAAATGTCATTAACATGAAACATGTCATGAGTAGTTGTAATCGTATGAGCTTTTTATTTTCATAGGATGTGATTAATTTTTTATTAAAGAAAAATAATGACGTTAATAACGTGTGTATGGTCAATGTCATTAGTCAGTTGTAAGTACAACTACAACAGATAAATGTCTATTTTCCTGGTAATGGATTTTGTTCACCACCCACTGTACCTATATGTATTCAGGGTTCGAATGGTGAGTCATCTCTTAAATATGCAACAATGCTGCTGACCATTCAACGCCTTTAGATCTCTGCCAGAAGAAATCACATGTAGGGCTGCCCCCTAATATTAGCTACTTAGTGGTCCTATTAGCTGACTCTACTTGGATTATGAGCTCCAAGGGCAGGGGGAGTTTTAACACTAGTGACTATCATTATAGTAATTCTAATATTAAGTTATAATCATTATAATGACGATTGGCTTCATCTAATGACGACTAGTCGACTAGGAAAATCTTTACTCAGAGCAGCCCTAATCACGTGACAGCTGTGGGAAACACTCCCATCAGTGAAACAGCAAGAGCCCTGGACAAGAGACAAGAGAGAGAATGAGACACAACACAACAAAATAAAATAGAACATGAATACATCCTGCACATACTGCCCACCAACCAACATAAACATACCCACCTACACATGTCCAAAAAGTGAGAGGGAGAGAAAGCGAGAGAGAGAGAGAGACAAAGAGTTGAGTTACCAGCTAGCCATAGGCCTGAGAGAACAGGCTGGTCTTAACCTTGTAACACAGTTGTGGTGCAACTGATGTCATCAGGCAGTTTGTTCCCACAATAGTTGAATGCACCTTAACCAGATTTACTTTTGATCGTGGGTACAGTTAAGAGAACAAGGATCTCAGTCTTGTCTTTGTTTTAATTAATCCAGTTTCGTCCAGTATTTTTCAACCTTGTCTGTCTGTAGATCGAAAACTTTTCCATTAAGTTTAGATAGTTGACAGTGGCTATTAAGAGGTCCATAGTGGGAGGGTTTCTCTGAAGTCAGCATTTGGTAACAGTTTTTATTTGCAGCCATAAAGATATTCAGAAGGTAGATATCACTTTTACACAAAGCTTCAGGAATATTTCCGAGATACCGGAGAGCAATGAAACAACAAACAATACCAATATGTGATGGCATGGTTCACTTGTACTGAGCCACATTCCCTCTGGCACTAGTATTGGGTCCTGGTTCATTTAACCTCGGTCAAGGTCCGAAGTGGTCTCTCAACATTGGTGCAGTAGAAATGCTTGATATTAAGTATGTTTTTTATTCATCATGGGCGCATGAAACCCTTTAATCATTAACATATTTATTTTAAATGTAGGTTCGAATTATAGCTTACTGTTCTTAATACCTTTATTTTGAAAACCGGAAGTGAATACGCTGTTTCCCCGTAATTACCATAATGCTGAGAATACTTGTACACTCGAATTAATTATATCGTTATCTCGGGATCTGAGAAAATTAACTCGTTAATGCATGGCCCTTTAGGGCTTCCGTACAGAACACTGAAACCTTGGGTAGCCTTATTTTCTCCTATTCCTAATGTTGAATAATAGGCTGCTCTGGCAATACGGCGGGCCTTTCTATATGTTTTAAGACTATCTTGCCAGATTGAACATGATTCTACCAGCTTGGTAAAACGCCATTTCCTTTAAAATTGTCACACTTTTTGCTTTAATTGGCAGGTTTGGTAATTGTACCACGGTGCTAGCCTCTTATGTTTTAATATCCAATTTTTTAGAGGGGCAACAGAGTCTAGTGTTGTTTGCAGTGAACCTGCAGCACTATTAACAAGATGATCAATTTGGAAGGGACTAAGGAGTCCTCTGTTATATTGAGACATGGTATTGAAATAAGTACAGATGGAATCTCCTCCTTAAATCTAGCTACAACACTATCAGATAGAAATCTGTTGATGGTTTTGCCTAATGGCTTGTAGTCCAGTAATAAGAATTCAAAGCTTATTAAATAATAGTCCAATAAAAAAGGATTATGTGGGAAGACTATTAAATGTTTAATATCAATGCCATATGATAGGTCAAGAGTGTGATTCAAATAATAGGTGGGTTTATTTAGACTCTGAAAAAAGCCAATAGAGTCTATTAATAAGATAAAAGCATTACTAAGGCTGTCATTATCAACATCCACATGAATATTAAAATCACCTTCAATAATTACTTTATCTGTTTTAAGGACTAAACTAGGTAATGAGAATGAGAATGAGATAGAAAATCAGAGTATGGGCCAGGAGCGTACACTATAACAAACAGAATTGGCTCCCGTGAATGAGTGAGTTTCTGTTCTTGTGGTGTGAAGTTTTGGTCCTGATAAGACCTGATAGATCCCAGCCTTCTGCCAGAGGAAGGTGTTTCACAGAGTCTGTGTCCAGAGTGGAAAGGGTTAGCCACAATCTTACCTGCACGCCTCAGGGTCCTGGAGGCATACAGGTCCTAGAGGGATGGCAGATTGCAGCTGATCACCTTCTCAGCGGAACGAATGATATGCTGCAGTCTGCCCTTGTCCTTGGCTGTCCTCGAGGTCCTGGGTGATGATGGTACCCAGGAAGCGGAAGGACTCCACAGAGTCAACTGGAGAAGAAAAACAATAAACTGCCTCTAGGGTGCCCTTCCAGTGGACAAAACGTGATAAAGTGACCTCTAGATGTCCTTTCAGTGGACAAAACATGATTAAGTGCCTCTAGGGTGTCCTTCCAAAGGACAAAATGTGATAAAGTGCCCCCTTGGGTGCTTTGCCTAACCATGACTAAACTGTTTTCACCATAAATGCATCACAACTTTCACAACTTTTCACATTTTGCTGAGGTTAGGCTAGCAGGTTCCCTTTACAATATGATCAGCAGTCCTCACAACTCAGCTGGATGGTTTAAATGAGCATCAAATAACAGGCTGCTGATAAGCATTGTTTTCAAAGCACTTTTTTAAACAATGTTACAAAGTACAAAAGAAAATAAAACTGCAAGAGACTCTTACACAATATAACCAATAAAGCACCAAATACAGATAGAGACAAAACTCAATAAAGAGTATATAGTGCAATAAAGATACAATAAAACGATAAATGGGGTAACCACTTTTGTGCATTATATACTGTAAGATCAAGGCTGTTCAAAGTACTAATCAGTGCTGTACACGCATTGGTGTACCTAATCTGATAAATAGCAGCATTTTATATATAACAGAAGCTGATAAAGGATCCTGAAATAGACTCTGACAGTAACCGTGGCTCACTATTTCAGAAGCTGGAGGAGAAACTTTTCATCAAACAAGGAGGTGTAGAAAATAACCTAATAGAAAACAACCTTACACAACAGGCTCATATTATTGGTCAGCTACAGAGACATACAAAGGCCTCATTCCAGCTGAGACTGTGGCAGGAAGGTGTGCTTCATTTCTCACATCATGTGGATTGAGACTTTTCAGGACAGATTTCAAATTCATGTGTTCATGCACTTTCTGTCTGGCAGTCCTGCCATAAATACCACCTGTGACCATCTCACTACAGATTTTATTGACTTCCATTATTGATTTCCACTTTTTCAGTACATGTTATGAACAAATAGATAAATTGAAAGTACTTTTTAAAGCACCATGCATGCATATTTTATTTTTTCTCTTTAGCTCTTTTACTACAAAAAATAACTAACCACATTCCAAGCATCTTTACCTCAAGATATCTTAATGAAAATGGGTTCTGTGGATACCTACAAGTCTCTCCTTTGTACTTTATAATAATACCATGCAGTTTGGGGCAAAAACCATGCAGTTTATTGCATGTGGTATTTTTCACCTTGTGTGTTTAAATATTTCTGCATACTGTGGTCCAGTATTGGAAATTAATAAATTGAAAATGACTGGAAAGCTGAGACACATATACTTCATGTCATTGCCCACTTGTTTCACCCCGGTCAAAAACATTTGGACACGTCCTTGGCGTTTGGTACTGCTTCTGCACAAAATGGACCAAATACATGCCGCCTACTTCCTTATAATGGATTACATAATCCAGGCAAACATAATTTTTAACATAATTCAGAGTTGAAAAACCACAACCCGATACATTACAGGTTTGCATATATCTTTCCTCACCTGAGAATCAATATCATTTATACACCGATCAGCCATAATAGTATGACCACCTGGGCACACTGGTGGTCATAATGTTCTGCAGTCCCATACCAACAAACTGTGATGCACTGTGTGTTTTGACACCTTTCTATCAGAACCAGCATTAACGTTTTCAGCAATTTGAGCTACAGCAGCACACGGGTCAACCTTCACTCCCCACGTGCATCAATGAGCCTTAACCGCCTATGACCCTGTCTCCAGTTCACTGCTTTTCCTTCCTTGGACCACTTTTGATAAGTACTGACCACTGCAGACCGGGAACACCCCACAACAGCTGCAGTTTTAGAGATGCTCTGACCCAGTTGTCTAGCCATCACAATTTGGCTCTTGTCAAAGTCGCTCAAATCGTTACGCTGCCCATTTCCTGCTTCTAACACATCCACTTTGAGGACAAAATGTTCAGTTGCTGCCTAATATATCCCAACCACTGACAGGTCCGATGATAATCAGATAATCAGTGTTATACACTTCACCTGTCAGTGCTCATAATGTTATGGCTGATTGATATAGATAAATCGTCAGGAAATTAATTCATAAAAGGGTGGTGCTTTTTTACAGCCGATTTCAATGTGCAGCACAAGTTACCATGAAGATCTCGCTAGGTTAGAAAAGAGAGCCACCTTCGAGAGATTAGAAACTATGGCTTTAGGCAGACAAATCTTCTTCATAGTACGTCCCTCAGAATAAGGAAATATTACATGAGATGTTTTGTTTTCAGCTGCCCCCAAGTGGCCAAAAGAAACAATTACCACGACTTGGATAAAAGTAAATGTAATGTGTTACTTTCCACCCCTGAGCTGACACTTAGACCCATGACAACAAAGCAAAAAGACAAACTAGGACACTACAGTAGTAATCATCTGCCCTGTTTTTTACTGCACCACCACAGCTGATGTCAAAGGAGGCATGTTATTGGCAGTCTGGAAT